AAAAAAAAAAAAAAAAGCCCCTGCCTCAGAGTACTAAAATGCTTCAAATAGTGGGGGTCTCTAATAAAAGGGCCATCAGTCTTGCAAAACGTCTCCTGGAATGGCCAGGCTCGGGGAGGAGATATATTAATTTCTTCTTTCTTGCAGCCATTCACAGGTGGGTGGGGTTCCCTGAGGCAGGCCATCATGTATGATTTTAATGACAAAAGTAACGAAAAGCAAAGGCTAAAGTCAAAGAAACAGATCCAACATGGAGTCAAAATTGGCTCTTCCCTGTTACACTTGCTGGTCTAAGAATTAAATTAACATGAGACAGATTAACAGGAGAAAATCAAACAAAAGTTTAATAACATGTATACATGGGAGAGACCCAGGAAAACTAACTCTCCAAAATGGCCAAAACCCTCACCGTGAATACCATCTTCAGCTAAAGAAAAAAGGATGTTGGGGGTAGTAGTTCGGGGCTTCCAAGGGGAGGAAGGCAACCGGCAAGAAGACAAAAAAGCAAATGTTTGGTAAACAAATGTTTGCTGGGCCCACAGAGACAACAGGACAGAGAGGAATTTTAACAAGCCGACTTTGCTAGGTTCCTCCCTGTCTATATACCTAGTTTGTACTACAGTTATCTATGGTGATAGCTCCCTTCTTGGAACAAGTTCTCTATCTATATTCTTTTAGGCAGGTAGGTGAAAGGTCAAAGGTGATGAGTCTTTTGGGCCTTAAAAAAAACAAAAAATCAGCCTAAATTAATTCTCTTGCCAAAGAAACCGATTTTGGGGTGGCAAATTTTGCTCCCTTACAATAGCTAGGGTGGTCAAGGCAGGCCTCATTCCAGTTTGAGCTAAGACCTGAATGAGCATGTCAGATAAACAACACAGTTAATGCTTGGTGAATACTGTTGTCGTCTCTTTCTCCCTGGGGCCAAACTCTTATTTGCATGTCTGCACATCTGCTTTTACCCAGACAAATCCTGAACGTGTAAGTCTTAGTACTGTATATGACAGACAGGAATCCGAGGTTCAGACGTTACTAGGGCAAGTTAACTGAGTCTGTGGGTACTTGCCTTCACGGTAATGGCTACACAACGCTGTTGCGATGTATTGTGTTCCAGGTTCCGAGGGCACTGAGGACAAATTAGCCTAGGCTTGGGATTATCCAGAAAGGCTCTGGAGAGGGAGAGGCTCAGAAGGCCACTGTCCTTCCTTCCCACCTTACCTCCCACTTCCAACACCATGGCCCAGGATCTGAGCCCAGAAAAAAAGAAAAATAGGCAGAGCCCTCAACGGCTGTCACTTCTGCCAAGGCTCTCCTGGCGTTTAAGAAGCAAACAATGAACTTGTAGATATCCAAGCAAGGTGCAAAGGCACGTTAAGACAAAGCGAACACGCCAAACTTTCTGCGTAGCCACGCCCTACCAAGCTCTTCCGGGGCAAGATCTCGCGATTCGCGCTCTGCGCGTACGTCATTTCCGCTGCTTCCGCGGCCAGGTCATTAAATAATGTTACCATTTCCGAGTTCGCTAAGGCCGCCTGCTGCGGCGCAGGCGTCGGTGTTCTGTAGTGTCCGGTCTATGGAGTCAGTTGGTTTCGGCGGCGGAGCGGAGGTAGCAGGCGGTGTTCGAGTGGGGGCCTTTGCCCCACCAGGATGTTACCGGGCTTGGCCGCCGCCGCCGCGGCCCACAGATGTAGCTGGTCCTCCCTGTGCCGGCTCCGTCTGCGCTGCAGGGCGGCAGCCTGCGGCTCCAGCGACCTCCAGGGTGAGTGTCCTGCGCCGGCCTCTGACTCCGCGGAAGCCAGACTGGAAGACAAGGCCGGGCTCGGCGCCGGGCGCCTCGCCTCGGGAGTGTGCCGCCTTGCCCTTTCCCAGCCCCAGAACCTTCTTGTCGGACCTCCGCCTTTGCAGTTCAGCCTGCCCAGCCGGCGGCGGCCCCTACAGGCCTCCCTGATCCTGGTCTCGCCCACGGTCTTAGCACGGCCCCCGCGGGCATTTGGGGGCAATTCTTGGGCCGGGTCGCATCCTTGAAACGGACCACTTCGTTTCAGATAAAACATTACGTGAGCATCGCAGTGCCCGGCGGTGACCGCCCGCCTCCCCCCGCAGCCAGTGCGAAATTGCTGACTCCACAAAGTTCCAGGGTCTTTTGAGCTCACCGCCTTACCTTTTTTGAGCACTTTGACCGAATAGATTTTCTTACCCTGTTCCTTTCCTCGTACTCCCAACCTGTGTTATTAAATTTTCTAAGGAGGAATTTGGGAGTTGCTACGCAACATTTACGAGACATCCTTTAAGATGGGGGTATGACCATCCTACAATTATTGAATGAGCCCAGTTCGGTTGAACAATCTTTTTGGTGAAAAAGTGTCTACTGGAGCTGTAACCCAGAAAAAAGTGGTTGTCCGTAGGTTTTATCCCTCTTTTTCAGATGTCTTTTCGGACTCAAATTTAAATTGACAGTTTACAAAATAACTTTGTACTTGCAAGTTTTAATTAGGCTTACCTCCGTTTTTGCCGTCATTGGCATGCCATAGGTTGCTTGATACTTGGAAACTGTTAGAAACAATGAGGGAAAATCCACCCCTAATCTAATCCCCCGGAGTCTTGGGGATGAAAAGAGTATTTACAGAAACATTTACCCAAAATTTATGTTTGAAAAAACTTGTAGCATGTTTGTGACCTTGCAGTAGAAGTTAGAAGTCGTAGTCATTCAAGTTTATAAGTAACATAGGCTAAAATAATGCCTGTTCTGTGCAATTATCTTAGAATATGGTCCTATCTTTTATTTGCAATAAATATAAAAACTGGCTTTTAAAATTTCGGAAGGGTTAATTTTAACAGCACTGTTTTGGGGGCTTTTTGGTAGTGATAAAAACGTGTAACTAGATTTTTCCTATAATGGAAATGTACCTGATTCTCTTGTGAACAAAATGATTCATCTGGTTGTACTGTACTCCAGAATCCCCAATTAAACTTTCTGGCCTAGTTGCTTTTATTGACCAAGCAGTTTCGGCATTTTACACTTAAATTACGTGGAGTGGCTGTTGAATTTAGTCTAAACTGCCCTTTAAGGGTGGGTGAAAAGAAGTTGAAATAGTGTAATTTGTAATCCATTATTCTCTGTTGCTGTCAAGTCAAAAATTATGTGCTCTTTGTCTCATCCCTCTGTGAACTACAGATAATAATCACCTATCTCACCAGTCGGAATGACTGCAAAGTTGTTTGCAATGTTTATTACCAAAAAATTAAAATGTGTTTTCATGCTTAAAAACAGTAGATGTAAAAAATAATCTTGTTTATGCAAATTTAGTTTCAAAAATACTGAAACAGTTTTTAAAAGGGCAACCATAATTATGATAAAGCTTAAAAAATTTATTTAGAAAAAGAGTACTAATTTAGAAAAAGAGTACTAAGTACTCTTTAGAGTACTAAGAGTACTAACTAAAAGGAGTACTAAGTTGGATGCACGTAAGAAAATATTTGCAGAACTTTTGAGAAAAAATTCTAAAAATAAATATTTTTCTTTGTCAAATAAAGTTTAGTTTATGCTTCTAAAACTGCTGTGTGGCTGGGAAAAACTTATAAAGAATAAGTCGAGGAGGAAATCTTGAAGGAGACAACTGCTTCATTTGTATACTTAAAAATGAGAAATGTCTGTGGGTCAAACTAACACTGAAAACATTTAAAGGCAAAAAGCAAGACAATATTCTAGAGCAGCTCTGTCCAAAAGAAATATAATGTGAACCATGTATGTAATTTTGATTTGTCTGATAGCCATATTTTAAAAAGTAAAAACAGATGAAATTAATTTTATTAATATATTTTATCCAGTATATTCAAAATATTTCAACACGTAATCAACATAAAAATTATTGAGATATTTTACATTATCTTACCGTCTCTGGAGTCCAGTTTACACTTACAGCACATTAGTTCAGACTCCACATTTCAAGTGCTCAGTAAACAGTGGCTACTGTATTGCACAGTGCACTTATAAAGTTAGTATCCCTAATTTATAAAGAATTTTTACAAACCAGCATACATTCCAGTAGAACAATGGGCAAAGGAAATGAATGGTTTCATAAAGCCATTCGAGTAGCCAATAAAAATGCAAAAATGTTCCATACTTACTAATAAGCGTAGAAATATAAGTCTAAAGGATTTACTACTCATTGTCTCATATTAGCTAAGTTTTTCATAGTGATTCTTCATATTGAGCGTGCAGGAAAGCAGGAACTCTCTTACTACTGATTGAGACATACAGTTAGTTGAACAGTGTTTTGGAGGTCAGTTATTCTTTATATTAAAAATAACTTTAGGACTTCCCTGGTGGTTCAGTGGTTAAGAATCCGCCTGCCAATGCAGCGGACACAGGTTAGAGCCCTGGTTCAGGAAGATCCCACATGCCACGGAGCAACTAAGCCTGTGTGCCACAACTACTGAGCCTGCGCTCTAGAGCCGGCGAGCTACAATTACTGAAGCCCGCGTGCCTAGAGCCCATGCTCTGCAACAAGAGAAGCCTCCGCAATAAGCCACACACCGCAACGAAGAGTAGATCCCACTTGCCGCAACTAGAGAAAGCCCGCGTGCAGCAATGAAGACCCAGTGCAGCCAAAAGATAAATAAGTAATAAATAAATAAAACCTTACTTTAAAAAAAAAAAAGAACTTTATGGGGGCTTCCCTGGTGGCGCAGTGGTTGAGAGTCCGCCTGCCGATGCAGGGCACATGGGTTCGTGCCCCGGTCTGGGAAGATCCCACATGCCGCGGAGCGGCTGGGCCCGTGAGCCATGGCCGCTGAGCCTGCGTGTCCGGAGCCTGTGCTCCGCAACGGGAGAGACCACAACAGTGAGAGGCCTGCGTACCGTAAAAAAACAAAAACAAAAACAAAAAAACGAACTTTAAAGGTATATGCTTTCTCACCCAACAATTCTATTTAAAGGGATTTACTTTCAAGAAATAATCAGATACATATTAAAATCTGTGCACAAGTTTATTATTAATAGTGGTAAATAGGTAACGTTTACAGTTATGAAGAATAGGAAACGTTATGGTACAATTATTTTTTATTTTATTTTTATAAATTTATTTTTGGCTGTGTTGGGTCTTCGTTGCTGTGTGCAGGCTTTCTCTGGTTGCGATGAGCGGAGGCGGCTCTTCGTTGTGTGCTGGCTTCTCATTGCAGTGGCTTCTCTTGTGGAGCGTGGGCTCTAGACACACGGGCTTAGTAGTTGCGGCTCACAGGCTCTAGAGCGCAGGCTCAGTAGTTGTGGCGCACGGGCTTACTTGCTCCGCGGCATGTGGGATCTTCCCAGACCAGGGCTCGAACCCATGTCCCCTGCATTGGCAGGTGGATGCTTAACCACTGCGCCACCAGGGAAGCCCTGGTACAGTTATTAAGGGCTGGTGATAGATGCAAACATTTTTTTAAAAAAATCATAATTTAGAAGAATATTTAGTGATGTGGGAAAATGCTCTTGAAACTAGAAAAAATGTAGTAAGAATATATACTATGATATTACCAGTGAGTTTCTCTAGAAAATTTTTTTTAATTAACTTTGTTTTTCAAATGATCTACACAAACATATACTTTTAAATAATAAAAATATTATTTAGTTTCTCTAGTAAGTAAATATGCCCTTTTTTTTAAAAAGTTCTTTTGGCTTTGCATAAGCACTTATTTTATTTTTTCATGTATTTATGTCTTGCCTCATTTGACAATGATTTGAGATGGGAAGATGCTCCTTTAAGGGCTACATGCCAAATCAACAGATATGTGCTTTTGCTTAAGTCCGAGATTAATAAAAGTATAGTTTTTAAATAAAAATATAGAAATTGACCTTTGTATTTTTAAATTTCTGTCTGCAATCTGCTAGTATTACCATACGAAAACTAGAGTGGGAATTTAACCCCTTAAATAACTAATAGGAACATTGACAGTTATAAAAGACCATTTTGGCAGGTTGACAGCATGATTCTGTGTAGTTCAGGCTAATAATAGGGTTACCTGTAAAATGAGGTTAACGGCGGTATGTGCTTCATAGGGTTTTTGTGAGTGAGGATCATTCAGGAAATAGGTACCAGGCATTGTAGTTGCTGGTGGTGCAGTACTGAACAAGACAGACACAGTTTCCACCTTTTTTGGAAATGAGGAATGAGAAAACATATCTAAATGCTATAAAGGAAATAAGCAGAGTGATGGGCTAGAAGGTAGCCAGCAGGGGCCATTTCATTAGCTTTGCTGGCCTGGGACTCCAGCTTTTCTGAGGAGGTGGAAACTGAGCCAAGGCATGAAAAATGAAAATGAGCAAGCCAAGTGAACATCTGGGGCAAAGAACAATCCAGGCAGAGCAAATAGAAACCCTAGAGACTAGACTTGTGTTCAGGAGCAGGAGGAAACGTGCTGTGGCTGGAGTGTGGTTGGAAGGGGAGGGGTGTGTGAAATGAGATTGGGGAGGCATCATAGCCTTTTGGTTGTAGGTTTAAAAAAAAAAAGCAAGTGTTTAAAAAATATCATTCTGACTACTGTGTAGAGAATGGATTGGAAAGGGAAGAGTGTAAATAAGGAGATCACTGGGGGCTATTAATTAGAGTTACCTACGCAAACAGGATTGTGGTTGGGCCATGGTAGTTAGCAATGGAGATGGAGAGATGTAGATGGCTTTGAGGTATGTTTTGGGATATAAATTATAGTGTGATAATACAGGTAAAGCATTTAGTACAGTGGCACTTGGCAAATCCTTAAAGTATTTGATATTTTTTC